TTAAATATAATCGTAAAAGCAAAATAAAGTTAAGGAATAAACTTCAGTTATGGTCACTTAAAAGTGGATTTTGCAAATAGGTTATTGTACTTTGATTTCAAGTATGAAATATTATATTTTTTTGGTATCGATGCGCTTTGATTGGAATTCGGCTAATTCCCGGATGAAACGCTAAGATGGAGCCCATGTAATTTTTATAAATTTGCACTTTCTCTCGAAATTTATTTTTTTGATTATCCTTTAACATATTATTAATCTAACACCAAACAACATTGAATTTTTTCTGTTCACTCAAATATGATCTCTCATTCAGAATTAAATCTAAGCTAAAACAGAAAAGGTATACTTTTACTTTATTGTCAAGCGCCATAGTTAAGTCAATAATTGAGGCAGAAAAAAGGTTAACATTTTCTTTTCGAGATACCGACACTGATAACAAGTTGACCAAAATTCATATTCAATAAAATCACCGATTTTTTTTTTTTGGTTGAAAAATCACCGATTTAGAAAAAGCTTATTTCTGCATTTTACTTGGCCGATGAAGCTCTCTCTTTTGAATCAAATATCTCCTTTTAAGCTACTCACGTTAAGGCACTTGTGGCTTTTGAATTGGAATACTTATCTCTTTCTTTACACTTTTAACCAAGGTCATCACTATTTTAACCATGGTTATTTGTTCTTATCTCTTAGTAACTCATAAAATATCTTCATCAAGCAAACCAAATGTGGCCATATATGCATTACTATAAACATCAGTTGTTCTTCACAGAAGACCCCAAAATAGATCATCCTTTGGTATTGAAAGTGAGAGGTCTTCGCATTCACCTTGATTGACTATTTGTGTTCGTCAAGGCAGTGGCACGCTTCAGGCTATGAAGGACTCTGCCTGTTCTAAGTTGACCTCCTTCAATTGATAAACATAAATCGTCACATCTTATCAATAACACATACAAGTTAAGCAGAAAATAAGTAATGCCAATTTACTGAAAGCATAAATAACTATCAACAATCACCCTCGAGACCTTTTAGAGTCCCTTGTTGCATAGAAAGCTGGGAGCTATTAGAAAAATCAAACGCCTTTGCCCCTTGCCTTATCTGAGCCTATCTCAAACATTGAAAGTAAGAATGACCTGAAAGATCTTGTGTTAGCCAGAATCAACAACCATGCTCTGGACAATCAAAACCAAACTTTTTAAAAGATTATTTTTGAAACCACTTTATCGAAACCCAGAAAAAAAATTTAAAATTTTACCTCTGGGACTTAATCATTCCTCATTGCACAAAAATCTGTCTCACCAAACCATGCCTGGTCTCTAGGAGTGCCAAAAACTGTATGAGTCTTGCCAGAGTCACTAGGCCCCAGGCAGGCAGCCAGTTTTTCAGTTATACCCCTCAAAAAAATCATCCACAAGGGCTTCACCATGCTTTCATACACTTCATCCTACAGCAAGTCAAGAGATAATTCACAAAAGATTAATAAAACAGAAAAAAATTCAAATAAAACCCAAACTATTCTGTAATTGTGAGAGGTTAAAATTCCCACATTCCTAATATCTTCCAAGATTACAGGAATGCAGTGAGCAATGTAATGATCTGCTCTGTCATGTTTCGAACTCCAATGAGCAAGTTCAGTATCATGAATTCAACTACGTACGTCTATTGAAGTGAAGACAAATTCATATTTCTTTCGTGATTCTAGCCAAAAATCAAATGAGAGCAAGACCTGCTAGGAATCGGGCGAGAATAAAACCTGTAGACCTTGGGTTCGATCCTCCTAGACCCCTATAGCATCAAGGTCACCGACGTGGCATCGTTCACAGCGATACAGATCTTGCTGTGCAGCTGCTACTTCTTCCTCACGTTGAGTGGTCGTATTCGGGGTACACCTTCACATTCTACAAGATGTCTAACTGATGTTTCTCCAAAATGTCGAAGCCAACAGTGGTCGTTGGTAGCACGAACCTCGCTCAGCGGTGAGGGCATCGTAACCTGTGGTGGCTTTTCACGTGGATATTCCATTTCAGGCGGCGATACTCTTTAGAGTGAAATCGAAGTTGGATGTTTTGTCGAGGATGGTGTTTTGAGCGCGACAAGACACAATGGCACTAAAAAGTTAGTTGTAATTTGGGCCGACAACTCAGGTCAAACAGACAAAATGGGCCGACAATGAAGAAATTGCAACCCGGTTCATTTCATGGCCCATTATCCGAAGAAATACTGACTAAACGAGCCTATTGGGCCTGAATATCTTTGCCCATGTACACTATTTTCACCCTTGCTCGTGTTTGTGGGACCAGGGATAAATACATTTTACGTGTTGCTCGTCGGGACAACGTAATGCTTGAGAAGAAAGCATCGAAACTGAATGAGCTCAAACACTATTCAAATTAGTAGTTTGTTTCAAAGAAGCTTCGGCTATTTTGGCTCAGTTGAAGTGACAAACCAAACCATATTTTGCCAGGGGAAAGACCACCAAAACCTCAAACTACCACCGCGACATTTACCTGAACTTTTTGTGACACCAAAAACCCCAAACTACGTTATTTACATTTATTCCTCAATGTTTTAGTCCATGGGCAAGCTTTGTTTTTGCTTTTTTTTTTTTTCCTTCCGCTGAGGCCGCCCGCCCGACGCCGGCGAGGGTCGCCGCCCGAGCAAGGGCCGCCTCGCTGCCCTGTGCATGGCGACCGCCTCGGCCCGTGCGCGGCGAGGGCCGCCTGTTGGAAAGGAAAAAGAAAAGCAAAAAAGACGTAAATGCCCATGGACTAAAGTACATTGGGGTAAATGTGTCATAAATAGCATAGTTTGGGGTTTTTGGTGTCACAAAAAAGTTCGGGGTAAATGTGTCACAGGTGACATAGTTTGGGATTTTGGTGGTTTTTTCCTTTGCGAATTTACAATTGTGGTCAAATTCGTTGTTAGTCATGTTAAATATTCATTCAAAGCTTATTTGAAAATGTTTGCATATATTATGTCAACATGATGTCTCTCTTTATACCAAAAAATAAAAGACATGATGTATCTCATTTAGATGCATTTATAAATATCTAAATACATTTCTTGCAATCTTGCATGCTACTTTGTAAGTCACCTTACATGTCTTATGTTTGGATTTTAAATGATATTTTTGGGTAAATCTACATTCGACACGATTCTTTTACGTCAATACAAATTTAGGAAAAAAAATCAACACTGATATGAGGCATCGAGTAAGCAGAAATGAATATGAGGCGTCGTTAAGCAAAATGGAAATTTTTTTCCTACAGTTTATGAATTATGAAAAAGAAGAGAATGATTATCCTTGGACAAAAAAGGAGAAGAATTATTAAAAAAAAAACTACTTGATTACAAAATCTCACCTCACTCGCTCGACTAAACCATAAATACAAATAGCCAGAATTGTCCCATTAACATCAAACTTTTAGACTTCGTTTGTTTAGCGAAAAATAATTAGAAAACATTTCCAAAAAAAATCTCTCGTATTGCTTAATAAATGAATGAACGAAAAAAAATTTCATTGTACACGTAAATGTTTAAACATAAATTATAGTCGATAATGAAAATATATTTCATTGATTAATTATTACATGAGATATATGGGATTCTTTTTAAGAAAATATTTTATAAATCATTCATTTTTCACGTAACAAACATAATCTAAATTTTATTATAATTTGATTAGTCTTGGTTTGACTCGTGCACTGTCGAGGCTTTCCCATTGGTGCCTTACCCTAAATTACCTACTTGCCCCTTATGTTTTAAATTATTGGATTGTGAAAAGGGTCGCGCTTTTTCCACTCCTAATTTGGCTAAAACACTCCCAACAAAATGTTATAACCATTTTATCCATTATGGATCCCACCTTTCGACATCCTCTACATTTTCTTTGTGTCCTCTTTTTGGTTTCTTCTTTTGCAGGTCTCACTTTCCTTCATCTTGGTCCTTCTCTGTTTCTCTCTCCGTTTACTTCCTATTTTTTGATGTTTGAGATGGTTTTTGCATTGTTTTTCATGGTGGGTGCTAGATGAATTGATTAAATTCGGAGTGTTGGTTAATGTTAAATAATTTTCCTTGTGATGGGTCCAGGTCAATAAAGTTTCAAGGTGATTTTTCTTCTTTTATCTCTTTTTTTTTTGTTTAAGAAAAGTGCGTATTGATTCATTTTTTGTTTACTGTTGAATCTGATTAAAGTTTATGCTTTTGAGGATCTTTAGTGAGGCCTTTTGGCATTGCTAAGTTTCTCTCCTTCTAGGGATTTTGTTAGTTGAAATTTTCGAAATTTTGTGGAAAAGATTGGAAAGAAGAAAAGCGGGTCTTGTCCGAACCTAAAGAGTTTTGCTTTCACCAAGTGAAAAAGGTTTATCATCCCATTAGCTTCTACCGATTGAACTTACTGATAGAGCATGTATTTGATTTTTTTAGTATTCTTTTCATTGAAAATTTCCCCGGACTGTTTCCGTCGACCTCTTTCTCTCTTGCAATCTGTTTGGCAGAAATAATTTCAAGATGCACATTTTGATATCTTCCCATAATATTGGTCTAGTTATAATTCGCATTCAGTAAAGAATGAAGGGTTTTTATCTAATAAATTTCAATTTTCTTCTCATTTCAATAGGTTTATGGTAACTTTTTACCATTTTGTTTCCAGTTCTTGATAAAGTGGAAAACCAATGGGCACGTCAATTGCAATATTTTATATTACATTGTAAAGTCTGGGTGTCAGTGCAAAGTCTAGTTGGATCCCTCCTTTGTATCATATTGGGTTGGTTTTGAATAGAGAAGGGCTTCCATATGTTGCATGGCCACCAATTAGACCGAGAAAACGTCATTCGAATGAGTTATATGCTTTTACGAAGGTGATTATGATGGCATTTTCTCTACAAGAGAGAGAAAGAGAGAAAGATGCTGAAAGATGGGATGAAGAAGAATGAAAGTAGGACCCCCCAAAAAAGAAAAAAAATACACCAAGGGAAAGTTTAAGATGAAAGGCGGGACCACAATGGGTGAAATGGTCATAATACTTTGTTGAGGACTATTCTAACCAAATTAGGAATGGAAAAAACACGGCCCTTTTGGAAATAAGAAAACGATTAAAGGTACTTAAGCTGAAACCGTAAACTAAAATCTATCTCACAGAAGTCCGGAACCACCCTTCCACTACCTCATAAGAGCGACGCATCCAAGAACCGTGGCCAGTTCGTCACAAGCATTCTTCTTCAAAAATCCGACCATTATAGATTTCGAACTGTCAAACTCGAGAGAGAATAACTGAGGGGTGGATAGAAGAAGAAGAACAAGAACGGGGAAGATAAACATGTTGGCTCGATCAAATCCAAGAAGTTCAGAGAAAATATTGACTCCATATTTCTCATGTCTCTTTATCGGTTCTTTGAGAAGCTTTTTTGCAACACCTTCCGATCGAGGCAACAACAGCTGTAAGGACTGCAGAATCAATGAAGAAGAAACCTGAGTGAACACGAATTGAGCTGCTGTTTCGATAATAACACACTTGCCCGCAGGCGGGCGGCGACCCAGGTTTCCTCCAAAGGAGAAGGAATTAAAAGGTCAGATGAATTGCAATATAGCAACTAACAATGAAGCTAACAAGGCTCCTCTACTGCAACAGAGTCAGGAAGGTTCACGATGCAATATAAGTAACTCCTATAGTAAAAGAACAAAAAAAATCTTATCGAAAAATTCGCCTGTCCAAAAAGGGTACGAGAACAGTATCATCACAGTAAAGAACAGAAGGAGAAAATGTCCTTGGAGAGGGAGACTCTCTCTCAAAAGATAGATAAACAATTAAGCAATGTAATTGTATAGCCTACCATGGGATTTCTTGACCATCCCAGGCGAAAAACTTGCCATTGTCTTGAATCGTTGCGTGGTCGATAATTCCCAAGAGCTTCGGCACCGAATACTCCTTGGTGAAAAGCTTGCCTTCAGGAACATTTCTCTGAAAGGGCTTCGAGAGATCTGTGTCCACTGTGCCAGGGTGCAGCAAAATGCAGATAACCGGATCCTTCTTACGTGCAAACTCTACTGATACTGTTTTTGTCACTGCGAGAATCAACTCGATGTTTAGGAACATGCAAAAACAAGAACATTGATTGCCTCTCTGTAGAGTTCTATGAAAAGTGGGCGTAGATCTACACACCATTTTGGCCAAAAGAACAGGGCATACCAACCATACGCTAAAATGTGCAGACACTTGGATTTTGGGTTCACTCAGCCAAGTGATTTATCATACTTTAACTTCAGCATTTTAGAGCATGAAGTGAAAAGAGTGTTTCTGTTCATCTTCTGTCGGTATTCTCAGACTCATCATCTGGCTGCTCTAAGGTCAGCCACAGGATGATTACTATTAGAAACCTAAAGAAAGATGAAAGGAAGGGTTATTTTACACATACAAAAAGTAGACGGCCTAAACTTCCTAAAACTAGAGCACAGGACATCGCTCGCAAATGCCCCAAAGTACACCGGATGTTTAGACAATTTTCCTCAGACCATATTAGCCAATTGTCTAAACAAACTTCAGTGCTTTCATGAAGGCCAGAAAAGGAAGAAACTTTACGCTGATTCAATGCGGCTTTGGAGGATCGATAAGAGTGCCACCCACCAAGGCGATTGTCCCCAATTGAACCCACCCGGGCACTGATATTGGCCACAACAGCAACATCTCTATCAGTACCAGTGCCTCCACCAGCCTTTAGAAGGGGCCACATGTGCTGCTAGGGCATATTATATGGGTTAGTGATACATAATTGAAGTTCACCATGACATCAAACTGATACCTCATCTGATTGACTCTCTTATCGAGAAGGATACACATTTTTATTTGTGGCCACAGTTTTAAAGGAAAACTCATTGGCTTTGACCTTGAATCCAGTCATTTCTGCGTATCACAAGATTAACTTCTAAAATCAACCCCTCAAACTTTCAATTGTACAGAATGGCCCCACCATTGGGAGTCAATGTTGTAACGCTCCATTCAATAAACACATTGTGGCATGAAAGTCTCATTTAAGACATAAGAAAATAAAAATTTGGAGTACATTACTTTGACAATTCCCCAAGTTTTAACTAAATAACATCAGAGCCCTTGCATTTCCGAAAGAGTGGAAAGCATTGAAGTTCATAACATCAGAAACTAGAGAAGATAGAACTCTATGAGAAACTAGAGAAGTTCTGTCCGTACAAGGGAAGTTTTGTTACTGCAGAGGTTTATTCTTCTTACATTAATATGAGTAGGTAGAACTCTATGAGAAACTAGAGAAGTTTTGCCTGTACAAGGGACGTTCTTTTGTTACCGTTGACTGAATCCCCAGTTTCCTTTCCTTAGCAAAAAGACAGTTGATGTAAATAAGGGATACAACCACATTTGGGCCAGAACCACTATATGGAGACATAGTTTGGAAGTCCAAGCTTTTATATATCTAGTCTGAATATTCTATCTTTGAATTGTTTTACTTTACTAACTGTTGTTTACTATGGAATTGGCTACGTGCTTCCATTGCCAACTGAAAAGAGGTTTTTAATTATTTTGAGAATTTTCTGCAACTTGATTAAGACAATTCCCAGTTGCCATAGTTTGGGACCAACGGAAGCCTGAAGGCTGTGAACAAGACCTTTAATGATTTTTTCGAAAAAACAAGACCCACCATAATTACTTGAAAAATAAATAAATAAACTCTCAGACATAGAAATGAGCCTACGTTAAACTATAGAAAGTGTTAAACCTCTATCCAACTTGTTCACTTTCCAGTGTCACCTTCAAACCATGTCCTTTGACATGCCACGTGCATAACTTACTCTATCTAAACAAAGAGGAAGATACACCTGAATGGGAAGGTTGAAAATAGCAGTTTCAACATTCTCATTTTTCAGCAGGTGCAGTGTCATCGTATATTTTGCAAATAACCGCAAACAATGCTGTAAGTGCTTAAGTATTGCTAGGTTGATTGTCTGAAGAAACTAGGAGTTCGGACAGTTGCAAACTATAAGAGTATACACGTAACGGCCAAGAATTGGACAGCTCCAACTTAGATTGAAGAACAAGTAATGCTAGAAAAGTAAAGACGGTCGGGCATGGGTTAAAATGCATTGACATTTATCAGTAACTTCAGAAGATTCTATGTAAGTCTTCTATTTCAGACCCACAAAACAAAGGCAATATGTGAACCAGTGATACCAGCCCCTCTAGCAATTCATTTTAATCAAATGATTAGCACATGATGAAATATTCAAACATCACCACGAAAAGAAATGCCTTGAGAAATTAGAGGCCCAATGACTTGAATATCTTAAGAATGTCAAGCCAACTCATTAGCCAAAAAATGGCAAATGTAAAAGCCCAAAAAAAGTACCTTGATGACAAGGATAGGGCCCACAGCATTGACCTCATACGTGCTCAGCAACGATGACTTCTCTACTTTGAGGAGTGTCGTTTCTGCACTGAAAAACAATGAATAAAAATTTAATAAGTCATAAAACAGCAAAAGGGGGAGGTCGATAAAGTAAGCCATCCTCACTGCATACATTGAGCTCAAGGCTGTTCAATTTCAAGGAGCTTATAAGTCTAAAGCGAATTGGTCTAGATCGCTTTACCTGGTTGGAGCACATCAGGTATTGAAAGTATTCCAGATGCATTAACCAGAAGGTTCAAGGAGCCATATCTATCTCTTATGGACTTTGCAGATGCCTAAAAAGTAATTTTGTGTCAGATGAATCTGTCGAATACATATGAGCAGCTCCTTCATTAGTTTATATAATTGCAGTTCACAATGCCAAAAGACCTCCACAGATTGTCGTGATATATGATATTGGTAAGGTACAACTTTCTTTACTTCTTTGCCCTCGAAACCGGGAAACAAAGAATCACAGTCTTTATTGATTTTGATTTTCTCTGAACGAGACACCTAATTTTGACCCAAAAATAAAAAACGAGACACCTAATTACAAAATGCTTGCAATAATCGACAAAACCTCCCAGATTTATTTTTTCAAAGCTGCACTGAGAAATTAACGCTGAGATGGAGAAAAATGACCTCTATGGTACTTTCATTGGTCACGTCCAGCGGCAGAATGCTAAGGCGTTCAGCAAACATATTTTTGAGCGAAAGAAGCCCTGATGCCTCGTTAGGTTTGCGACATGTAGCAATGACATGCCCTTTTTCACTTTTTTGCAGCAGCTGCTCTACCTAATGAAGCAGGAACAAAATTAATAAAGTCCTGTACAGGCTAAGTCAAATGATCTGCTGCAGCAGATTTGAAAATTCCACTCAACTTGAAGATAAGAGGAAACAGAAAATCAAATCGGTATAACTTCTAAATGAATCAATATATCGAAAGACAGTGTTCATAGCTGTAGCATTTTAATTTACACCTCTGTTAATTGACGGTGCAAATGGTTTCGTAGGGTGGCAGCAAAATAATGGATTAAATCAAGAGGACTTGGATCTGAGTAAAGCTAAATCTGGAGAAACAAGATTAATGTTGTTCAAGATGAAGCAGTGGATCAACATTTCAGTAAGGTCAACTGTTGAAGCTGTAGGATCTATCTGCAAATAAGAAAGCAAAAAAAAGTGCAAGAACAGCAAGTATTGTTCAAGGACTTTCTTATGTTGTTTGGTTTGGCTATGCATCACCAGGGTAGACTACTTGAAGAAACCGAATTGAAGAATTGTGAAAGAACAGAGTACCATGGAAGAAGTTAACAGGTGACATTCTTGTAATTTCTTTTGCAACTGATGATGGCAATGATGCCTGTAATCATGAAGGCCCGCCACAAGAGTTCAGACTCTTTTCTCGAAACTAACAATGTGACAATTGAACACTGATTTCGTATGTGTATAGCACAAGAGTGCCTATATTACACGTTGCTGATAGCCACGACAAATTGCTTACTTGCACATGGGATAACATACCCGTGCAAATCACATTAACATGCAGCACAGAAAAACCTAAATCAACATACAATTAAAAGAAAAAAAGAAATTCTAAAGTTTGGATCTCATAGGTGTCAGGTGAATTACCAATTACCTATTTTTAGGCACCTCTATTATATCACTAATAGAAGAAACATGCCAAATAGAGCGACATGATCAATATAAGGGTTGGTATAACAATTTGAATGAGTTATAAAAGGCAGAGACTTTGTCTTTTTAATTAGCTCAATTAAGTGCTGAATTAAAGAAAAAACCAGCACTTACTAAGATTGACCGAGTCTGATGATACTAACTAGCGTTTACTTAAAAGGTTAAGTTTAGTTATAAAAAAAATGTACACCAAGCATGTAAATAAGGGAAGGGATTACTTAATTTGATCAACAGAAACACATTTGATGACACTTAGAATGGTAAATTTATCTTGATAAATACGATAGTGTAACTAAGCTTACTAGAAGATGAGGGATAGATGTGAGAATGGATACTTAATTCTTTCACTTTCCTGGAACCAGGTTTATATAACACCTCAATTTTTAACACCCATCTGGTGTGGAATTCGGGCACCGCAGGCTTACTCTTTTCAAGGAGAAAGATTGCGAGACTATACTCACATAAGTAGAGCGAGGAATTCGAGAGTAGGTAGAGAGCTCAGAATGCAAAAAAGGAAAGTCCAGATGGAAGACAACAAATAGAGATGACAGTTCATATAGAGTTAGCACGACAAAAGAGAGTCTAGAAGGCTTTCACTTTGTGGAACCCGGATTGATATATCACCTCATTTGTGCACCTCATCCAAAGTAGGACTCAACCACAGTTGGCCAACTTCTATTTTGATAAGTAAGATTGTGAGACTTAGCTACAAATTATATATCTAAAACTCGTTGCTTATATCCACATCCATGTTTAGTAAAAACTAATCACTTTCAACATTTAACCAGGCGAAAGTTTGTTTTCTTTTTTCAACATTTAAGGGAATCAAGCGTCACAATTTTAGGACACAAATATAAGGTACTTATTTTCATTTCTATCAAATAGGCCCTTAAGATGTAAATGAAGTTGCACATGTTATTGATGTACCTATACACCGTTGGTGCAAGTACTGTGCAGCTAAGTTGCACATGCCATAATGCAAGTACAGAAACATAAATCCATAATCACCTAGCTGTACTTTGCCATGCTGATAGTCTCCGAATGGAAGAAAATTATTACAAGAGCTGTTGCCATGACAGCCAAAGAAGCCAAAGAAGACTCCAAACTAAAAGAGAAACCACAATACGAAGCTCTCGTTTTTTTTTTTTTTTTTTTGCAGAGGATAATTTGACCACAGCCTACGTTATAAGTGGCTAGGAAAATTGCCAACTCAACTTTAAAAACATTTTATCTGATTATACATCTAAGAAAATTTATCTGCTGGATGAAACCTTGGATTTGGGCCTTCTAGCCATCGTAATTCACAAACTTTGACCCACAAATATCGCAAAAGCAATAGTTTGAAAAGCTCATATTGACGAAAAGATAGCAGATGCTTCAAAACAAGATGTAATGTACTTTAAGAGAAAACACATTTGATTAATATGGATCGACATGTTAGTTAGCAGTAGCTGCTCCATTGCTTTGAACACCCCCACCCCCCTCCAAAAAAATGAAAATCTTTCGAAGCATATATAGTGAAGAAGCACTGTCATAATCCCTCTAGACATGTAAACTCAACAAGCATTGGAAGAGGTAATTATTCTGTTATTTCTGTTGTTTTTAAAAGGCGATAATTATGTCTTCCGATTCATGATGAGAAATGTGTGAAGTAGTGATGATAAAGTAACAATGTACAACCCTCTAGATGCAAAAACGCACAAAGGGCTTTGCAAGACTGATTATTTTGTATCTCTTCTTCCCGACTTTCGTTATGCATCCAATTTTTGTAGCCTTCTGTAGAAGTTCAAGAAGGTATTTGCTTTAATCATGTATGTCCTGTCCACGAAAACATGAAAAGAAGAGATACTCATTTAAACTCAAAATCTTCTTGCCTCATTATGTCATTGCCCCGAACAATCGAATAATCCTATCTCCTACCCTATGCACTGCCAAACCACTAACAAGGTCTCTCCACCGCTATCATTTCCGAAACTTAAGATAGTTCCCCACGACTTGATCCAGCAGTGAACTTGCACTTACACAAGCGTCAGCGAACCCAGAAGATTAACCAGAATTATATATCACACAAATGAGAAATTCCGACGAGATAGCACGTCGTATAACGAATCAAGGGCAAGAATAAAGAACTGAGGCGAAACCCAATAAAAATGAAGACCCCAATCAATCAGAAACCATCCAATTATAAGCTACATTGCACAACTAGAAGAAGAAAAAATGCTCACGAATTCAAGCCCGATTCCCCTGGAGGCGCCCTGCACCATGGAAACCCCACCATCCCATTTCACAGCATCAGAAGAAGAAGAAGATCGAATCGTTGCCGACAGCACCGGGCGAAGACAACGGGAAAATGCCATAGATGCGTGCTTGGCAAACGCAAGCGGTTTCATTCTCTACGGACTCCACTCCCTCCCTTTCTCTCTCCCGGAGGCTCATAGCAGGGTAGGCTCTGTCGTTGTTGAGGAAGAGTTGGGGGTTGTGAAACGAACAAGTTCAAGCAGGATGAAAGAAATGGCTCAGCTTCATCCACGTACTGTCCACGAAGAAACTCCCCCCGTTTGATTTCGAAAGCTTCCACCATTCATTCAAAGTTCTGTCTCACGTGTAAGTTGGATGCCCGTGCATTGAGTCAATGCACAAATAGTGAAAATTCATCGTGATGTCAATTTCAAAAGTCAGAGCTCGTGATAATGTTATCTAACATTACCAATTTTAAGCAATTTCCATGTATCATAAGATTTCAAATTGATACCACCAAAAATCGTAAATTGGTATATGCTGGTTTACATCAAATTTTTCCATTTAGTAGCTAATATGAAATTACATGTGGCCTAATCAGATGACACGGAAATTTTTCCTTTTAGTTGGTGATATAGAATTACATGCAACCTACTAAGATGATGTGGACTACTCCACTCTCACTCACTCTCTCTCTCTTCTTCTTATTCCTTTTTCTTTCTCTTCAGTGCTGCTCATTCTTCAAAAATGATTAGAAAAATCCTAAATCTCCAATTATCTTCATCGGTCTTCCTCCAAATGTTTGGTAATCCTTGTCGATCTTCTCTGGTAATCTTTACTTTCTTTCTCTTTCTCCCTATTGCTTTAGGACAGTGCTGAGGCTCATTCTTTCAGAAATAATTAGAAAATCACATATCGATCTTCTTCGATTTTCCTCACAGGTCTCCAGTAGTCTTCTCATTTTTTATAAAAAATTTTTTCTTGAGTTTGTTTGTCGGACTCTTTATGCTTGATCTGACCGGTGAGGTTACGGAATTTAAGGCAAAATACCATTATAGTGTGAAATGCCAAAGGAAAACACCATCTTGGTCATGTCCTTTTGTGTTTTATGACTTTGTGTTTCAGATTTGCTAGTTGTTTGTGAGAGTCCAATTTTTTGTTTACGAATTGTGTGTTTTCTCTTACCATTCCTAATTTCCTACTCGTATGATTGTCTTTCATGTTTGCTAGCACGTGTATAGAAATACGTTTCTCTTGTAATGTAAGTTCGTGTGGGGCAAAATAGTATTTTGAGGAGGGGAAGATCATTTGCTTTTCTATTCGTTTGATGGCGAAATAGTTAGAGCTCTCACACTTTATATCTCATCCAAATTACCAAATTAGGATTTTCCATGGCTTCAATTGAAAATGTTGTGAAGAGAAGCACATTCTCCTCCAACTCTATCAATGAAGTTCATCTCCTATTATGCAAACATGGTCGGTACGTGAACCGCCACACTTCTTCGAGAACTAGAAATCACGGAAGGAGATTTTACATTGGTCGTTATGGGACGTCATGGTTATGAGTTATTGCATTTGATTGGTTGTCTGCAATAGATGAATTATTAATGAGTCAGCGCATTTGATTTGGTGCTTATTGTTTATCGATTCACTCTTCTGCTCCTATGTCTCGGGTAGCGATTTTCTTGTCGAGCGCATCGTTGTTCACGGCTTTTCTGGTTCTTTGCACCAAGTAGCGTTGCTTGCGCTTCTTGTCTTATGGGTGTGCATGGCAAATGAGGAAACAAATAAAATGAATTTTGGACATCGAAACAATTCAAACTGTGCTAAATGTGTTTCGTGGCGTTGTCTGTACAGGCAAAGACATGTTGAGGCATTTGCATTGGCAGTTGGTTTTTGCTATTGTCTGCATCTTGTCTGCTAGTATCATTCAGATTTGGTTTTTTTTTAATTGTGACACCATGTTGATGTTTGCAGTGATCTGTGGCACCCTTTGAAGCTTTTTAGATGGTGGTGGCTATAAAGGCTTCATTGATCACTGGCCACATTTTCTTTCGATTCAAGGCTCGTAATGCAAATTGGTAGCAACGTTTATGAGTATCTTTCTTGAAACAATCGGCTACGTAATTATTTATGTTACACTTCATGTAATTGATGCAAGAGATAGCATGGCTACTCGGTATCCAATCCCATTGTTTGCAAGTACATGTATTCTCGCTCATATCAACCACAAACATGTCATCGTTTACTTCAACCTCAAATGTGGAAGCAAAACCTAGACTTCATTTTTTTTCCTCCTCAATCTTCACTTTGATTCTTGGACAAATTTCATCTCTTGAACCCACCATCAATTAACTTTTCTCGTACATTTTCACCATAAGTGATTTTCTTATGACCTCTAACATATTAACAATGGGACGTTCCCTTTCTTTGCATATATATATATATTTATTTATTATGCATTGAACGTGCTCAAATTGTTATCGATGCATCGCAATTGTCCAGATCGCAATTGTCCAGATTTGGTAAATGTTATGAAAGTTCTTCGGACATTGTCTCATGAAGTCTTCACATGCATGAACAAACTCCTCCTTCATATCTTTTGGTGCCGTGTTGAAATCGGCCTTATATGTCAAGTATGCAGCAATCCAGAAGCAACTCATAAGGTTTCTGCCTTATATAGTTTTTTTCCATTTAGCATAAATGTGCTGAGCACTATTCCCATGCTCTGCTTGCGAAGAGAGTTTACAAACTGCATTAAGAGGGCCCTGCAACACCTAATTGACGTGCAAACTAGTCAGTCTATGAACAAGAAAGTACTTCTCTTAATAAAATTTATTCATGATCTTACTTTTTGTTGGTCGCTTTCAAGTCTTTCAATACTAGCTTGAGAAACCAAGTCCTAGATACTTTATCTCAGCTTCAGCAAGCAAATGGAAATATTTGGTTATTTCCATCTCTGCCAGGAGCACAAAGCAACAACCCTTTGATTATAGTCTTCGTGAAGCATCCATCCAATCCAATTACTCATCCATAGCCTGCTAGAAAACCCTTTTTCAATTCTTTGAAGCCCACATACAATCTTTCGTACAATAATTTCCAGTTCTCTCTCTTTCAATTCTTTGAGCATTAGATCGATCTTCTCTCTCTCTTTCAGCTTCTAGGAAAGTAGTAGCCTGTGAAACCTGATTTCCAGTTCTCTCTCTTTCAATTCTTTGAGCATTAGATCGATCTTCTCTCTCTCTTTCAGCTCCAAGGAAAGTAGTAGCCTGTAAAACCTAATTTCCTTGAGCATTAGATCGATCTTCTCTCTCTCTTTCAGCTCCAAGGAAAGTAGTAGCCTGTAAAACCTGATTTCCAGTTCTCTCTCTTTCAGCTCTCTTTCAGCTCCAACAAGGTCAGCAATTGTCATAATGGCAGCATTAGATCGATCTTCTCCACCATGTTTTGTAGACACATTACGTGTCACGTCCCGAACCCCATCGAGCACGCGACATCCCTCTTCGGTCGAATTAGTGCGACATCCCAGGAAACGTCGCCGACCCAAACGAACCCATCAGAGTTTAATCGCGGCAGAAACATCAAACACCCAAACCATAATTTACCTGGGGTGCTATGGAGAATAAATTGCCAAACCACTAAATCATATACTATACCTCAATTTAAGCACAATATCAATTACAACATAAACTTATGCCACAACCGCCAATTCCGAAACCACAAAGCAAAATATACATATTGAACTACTAAACTGCAAACCATCGATATCATAAAATATTAGTAGCCTGGGTAACGCTACACCAAAATGGGACACTTTCAGACTCTTCCTCAGCTCCAACTAATCCCTACGCCCTCTAGATGGCGTCCACTCGACTCACTCCCTTCGGAATCCTCGTCCGAATCCTCATCGAGCACGGCTTCATCCGACGACTCCAAATCGGCCTCAACTCGATCGGAATTCTACCACATCATGATAAGTATGCATAACAATCCCAAATACGCGGTGGCGGCGAGGCCGCAGAAGGTTCATGGCTCGGGCGGTTGATCGAAATGGTTTGGTTGATACAACCATGAAACACTTCTCAATAAGTACACAACCTAACCCTTATCTAGGCTACCACGTATTCCAGCCAAGTCCAGACACCAAATCAAGCAACACACAAACAACATCCACACAATCGTACTAACAATCACATGCGATCCTACCGGGATCCATCATACACATCCCCGCATGTCAAATAATAATACACCAATTCATTTATATCCATACTCATCCAAAGCACCATATCACGCGAGGCAAACCACACTCACACACTAACTCACGCCATGCGTCGACTTTCACAAACCTCACGCGTCAAACCAAATCCGGCTCACTCCCAACTTTTCCACCACTACCGCGCCGCGTAAACGCATCGGCCAACGGTCTTCGACCTCGTCGGCATCGTCACCCGTCGGGCCGGCATCGTCACCTCGTCGGGACGGCATCGTCCCGCGTAAACGAACACGCCTCGGACGGAATCCTACATTCTCAACTTTCCTTCTCTACGCGCCCGCGTAAAACGCATCAGGCCAACGGTCTTCGACCTCGTCGAGGCATCGTCACCCCGTCGGGGGCATCGTCACCTCGTCAAGGACAGCATCGTCCGCGTAAACGAACACGCCTCAGGACGGAACTTACCCCGCGTAAACGAACACGCCTCAGGGTATCACTTTTCCAATCAATCCTACATTCCCGTACCTTCGTTCCACTCATTTCACACGTATCACACGGCCACACGTACACACGGCCACACACAATCTCACGCCTCACACTCACTTCGCAAATGCACATCCTTGCCACACAAACACCACACAATCACACATGTTTGACACGTGAGCTCATTTCGCAATCACACCACACACCTCACGGCCATACACACGGGCACACGGCCACTCAATATTCAGCCCAACAATCATTCGAAATCAACCAACAACTACAACCACTTTACAAACACACCATCCACATACAAACACACATTCAGGATCAATTCCCGTCACAAGAGCAGCAACTATTCAACCTCGACACCCCCACCATTCCGCTCATAAAAACGAACATCCAAAGAATCGGGGTAAAATTGGGCAGTTTACACAGTGACCGAAATCCCATTCAAATAAATAGTAAACGAACTCCAAAAATTCTGAAATTTGGATATGTTGCGTAAAACATCTTGATAAACATTTTTCGTGAGAACTTGAAACCGTTCAACTGTAAACACCTCTTTTGGTCACTTGAAGTCAGATGAAAATCAACTTTGTCTCGATCGGCCGCCCGACCATAAAAATGCATCTCATCCAGTACCCAAATCACCTTGGAAAGCCTTGAAATTTTTATATGTCAGTCACAAATGTCCCCAACAATTTTTGTGTAGGAATTTTGTTGAAAATAGATCTGGAAAATTTTATAAAAATTCGACAAGACACGAAGGTCGGGATGAACAGTGTTCCGGGCAGTTCTAATACGGTCTGAAAATGGGTTTTCGTGCTACTCAAATGGCCTCCAAAAATTCCAAATTTAAAATATGTTATACTTCAAGATGTTGGGAGCAACTTTCATGATAAAACTTCCTCAAATTCAGCCCACAAAATTCTCTACAAAAATAGCAAACCGGACGGGTACAGTAACCGCGAATCCGATATTCACACCGAACTTCAAAAATTCAAGTTCTAGCTCTAACCCAGCTCATAAATCAGCCTTAACTAGCCCCTAAATTGGTCTCTAGATCACCATAATCCAGCCCACTTTTCAGCCATGATCAGTCCACAATTCCAGCACTTAATCCCATCACAATCGGCCCCTAATCCAACTCACGAACAGCCCCTAAAACTACACTAAACCGTGTTTAAACGAGTCCGATAATACCCGATGTCCTAGGCAAGGGTTAGATTGCGACTTACCCGACTCTAGACTCACGCGGCTAGAGTGAAACGGGTGCAATCGGCGCGGCGGCGCGGCTTGGCGGTGGCGACGGCAAACAGCGGTGGTGATCCGGTCGGGCGGTGACCGGCGTGCGACTGCTCGGCGAGGGGAGGGAGAGGGAGAGAGATGCCGTGAGATGAGAGAGAGAGGAAATGAGGAGAGAGAGAGAGAGGTCTTGGCTTAAAAACCAAGCTTTGACCAACTTTTTGCCAAATGACCAAAATGCCCTTCTCTCTACTTTTCATCCGATGGCCCAGATTCCATCTTATCTTGAAACCGACGGCCCAGATCGAATCTCATCCAAAATATCCAAGGGTAATCTTGGAATTTCTCAAAAAGTCCAAGGGCAAAAGTGTCTTTTCCAAATTTTGGGGCAAAATTACCAAAATGTCCTTGCTCCATAAAACTAGCCCTTTAGAAATTCTTAGGGGTAAAATGGTCACTTTCCTCATTTCTCATTGAAATCGAATTTTTCTGAAGGAATCGGGACAATCCAAAATTACACGTTTCAACCACAACGTCGTCCTAACGTCCCATTGTGACTTCCTAATTTTCCGATGTCCAATTTGGGCTCAATTAAATAATTAAATTTTATTAAACGTAACTCGAGTGTTTCTCAAACTAACGGGTGGCTCGTTGGGGAAATTCGCATATTCGACCCGTGACTGATAATAAATCGAGTCACGTGCAAGTTCATTCGGTTCGTGACGATTTCGGTTGTCATTTAAATCGTGAGGATCAATCACTAGATCCGAGGGGCACGATCGTTTGGTATAAGTTCAGGACCGTTCGTCAATTCATTTCGTGGTCCAGCGGAATCACCCGCGATCCACTACTATGACAGTGGCGAACTAACCCCTAGTTATCCTCAGATCGGCCAACAGTGGCTCCAAATATCACCTCGGCGATTTTATGGTCGAAAATCAATTCACGATCGAATTTTCTCTTCGTCGCACGAATTTAAATCCCCCATTAGCCTTTCCCTAATGGTTAATATCCCAGGAATGATCAGTTCCGGGCGAGAACTAACTACGAGTACATTCATAAAATCCAGTATTTCATAAATCTCAAATGGACCAATTTTCAGGATGTCACATTACGGATCTTTATCAGGCATTGGGATTGGCTACAAACACGGAAGAACTTCTGTGTGTAACAAGTTCTGCAAACTAAAGCAACATAAGTGCCATAATTAACAGGTGGAGTAGCATATATCCAAGTTCCAACTAGCAACTCTTTCATCATAAAAGAGGTGACAAAAATCAATGCCCCTGAAACGGCAGGTCCAAGTTCGATGAAATTAATATTGTTACAATAGTTGACAAATCTGAAAATAA